TTTCCATTAATTTTGGTTTTCTTCTTTCTTCTTGATGAGGAGAGACCCGTTGTTGCATCTAGATGGCAGCTTCCTAGCTTTTAAGGTCCCAGTCACTACTCGCCAAAGTAGGAGGTGGAACAATGTTTTGTATAGTATGTTATGCCAATTGAGTTTGATGTCCCCTGCGACTATGGTGGATGTATCTTTTCTGAAATAAATATAAACTTCTAAAGTTATGTAATTTGAATAAACAGAAGCTCTAGAGATAAAAAATGTGAATGCTTCAAGTAGCCTGTTCAAATTTCAGAGAGAATACCAAGAGCCACGAATTCTTCCAAACTACTTAATACAAGCAAAGCAATTACATACATCAAACCCAAAATGCCAAACTCACTGCCATGGAGTCGATTCCGACTCACAGCAACCCCCACTAGGTTTCCAAGGCTATAAATCTCTATGGAAGCAGACTGCCTCATCTTTCTTCCATGGAGCAGCTGGTGGATTCGAACCACCAACATTTTGATTGGCAGCCAAATGCTTTAACCACTACACCATCAGAGCTCCTTAATCGCATACATAAGAAAAATGAGAGATCTTTATTGACCTCAGGTAAAAATGCTGTATAACTGTGAATTTATTATAATTTTTTATTAAGAGCCAGACTAAAAATACCATACATGACCTTCTTTATACAGTAGCCAGGATAAACAAACAAAATCTATTAGGGATAATATTTGTTTTCAAATCAAATTGCTTAAAGAGTAGTATCAGCTCCTCTATTTTTATAATGAAGAAAAGGGCACATACACAATAAATAAAATAAATAACCCAGAATTATATGTTATCATCACAGGAAAAAGGTGACCATTAGACACAGAGACTGGAAAATGTATAGAGAAAAAAATGACACAGTGAAAAAGAAGGAGAAAAAGAGTCAAGCTCCCAGCCAAACAAAAGAAAATAATTCCTCTCCCTCCTTCTCTTCCCCACCAAACACACACACAAGAAGGAATCAAAAGAACCCTGCTGCTGGGGAGCTGCCAAGTCAATTCTGGCTCACAGCGCCCCTAGAGGACAGAGGAAAACTGCCCCATAGGGTTCCCAAGGGCGTATGACTGCTACCCAGAAGGCTAGCGGTTCAAATCCATAGCCACTCCTCGGAAGGAACATTGGGCAATCTACTTCCACTGTGATACAGCCTCGGAAACCCAAGGAGGGGTCACTACGAGTCAGATCCAACTTGATGGCAGTGAGTTTGGTTTTAATCTTTATGAAAAGGTGGACAATGAAGAAAGAAGACCAAAGAAGAGTTGATGATCTTGAGTTGTGGTGCTGATGAAGAATACTGGAAGTCCCATGGACTGCCAGAAGAACAAATAAATCCAACCTGTCCTGGAAGAAGTGTAGCTGGAATGCTCCTCGGAAGGGAGAATGGCCAGACTTGGTCTCACCTACTTTGGTCTTGTTGTCAGAAGGGACCATTCCCTGGAGAAGGATGTCATGCTTGGTAAAGTGGACGGTCGACGAAAGAGGGGAAGGCCCTCAATGAGATGGACTGACACGGTGGCTGAGATGATGGGCTCAGGTGTAGCAAGGACTGTGAGGCTGGCACAGGACCAGGCAGGCAGTGTTTCATTCTGTTATAACTGAGGGTCGCTGAGTCAGAGCTGACTCAACGGCACCTAACAACAACAACAATCTTTACAGAAGCAAAGCCCAGACTAAACCCACTGCCACTGAGTCGATTCCAACCCCAAGCACCCCTAGAGGACAGAGCAGAACTGTCCCATAGGGGTTCTAAGGCTGTAAATCTTGACGGAAGCAACCTCGTTCTCCTACAAAGTGGCTGGGGTTCAAACCACTGACCTTTCAGTTAGCAGCCGAGTGCTTAACCACTGTACCACCTGGGCTCCCTCAGGAATTAAAACAGAGACAAGTATTTTCATGAACTACAACTCTAATCTTCTCATGGGTGGTCAGGCTGAACTAGTAGGTATCTCTATGAAGCGGGGAGTGTACCCAAGAGCATGTATAGGGTTGGGAGACAATGGTCCTATAAGTTTATGTGTATGATCTGAATTCCCAGGTGTATAGTAGAGCTGACAAGGGGCAAGGTTGCAGTCATTGCTTGGTCACAGCCAGCTACCAAGAGGGACCGAGTAGTTGAA